CTCTGGGTCCTTCCAGCCCAGCTTCTTTGCCCATTGTTTATTAATTTGCACATCTCCTAATTCAAAATGCAATCAAACGAACTGCTGAAAATATTGTTGAGTTGTTCATATCTTCTATGTTCTGGAGATTAGGTTTGAATAAAATTACAACAAAATGCACAAATTATTCATTTGTTTTATTAAACTGAGGGTTGAGTATTTGAATTTCTCATTCAACTTATGCCTCCCCTCAAAGAAAACATGACTTAAAATGACTCATATAACCTGGCCATCAACCTGACCCTCTAAAAGGGCTCTTCCCCATAGCACCTTCCTTCCTTCGTGAATGGAGCCACCTTCTACACATCCGAGAAAATTCTCAACTCTACTCTTTTCCTTACTTTCCACATCCAGACCCAGTATCATGTTCCACCCTACACCTTCTAAACAGCTAATAGGTTTGACCCCTCCTCATCATCCCTACTGCCCCTGCACAGCTCCAATCCACTCTCTATAACCAGCACTGGGACTTTCTAAACCATACTTGTGACTGAAGTGTTTCACCCTCTCAGGTAGTATGGTGCAGTGATTAGAAAATGGGCTTCTTCCTAAACCAGGTTCCACCACTTAGTTTTGCAGCCTTGAGAAGAATCCTTAACCTAAGACCTATTTTCCTCTTCTGCATAATTCAAGTAATATCTACCTTATAAAAGGATTCTTATAAGAATGAGAGATAAGGTATGCAAAATGCCTAGCCCTAAATGGAGCTTTGTACAGAATTAAGTGCTTTATTATTTTTATTATTTTCTTATCTGTAAAAATGAGCAGTAAGTTTCTGAATTACTCTGAAGATTAAATAAGACGTAAGGCACCAAACACAGTGTTACTAAGTGTTTCTTTTCGTTTCCTTTTAATGGTTCCCCTAGCCCCAAGACAAAATGCGGCTACTGCCACTTTCCCAATATCATCTCCTGCCGCTTGACTTCACATGTCTCCTCTAGCATAATGAATTATTTAATAGTAAGACTGCATCTCTTCATGCCTTCCTCTCCTTAAGAGCCATATTTACAGGTACAACACTATGTGTGAGAAAGACTTTACTATATATTTCAACATGCAATAGTTATCATATTTTCAAATTTAGAATGTAATAGCTATCAGGTATAAGTGTATTGAAGGGGATGATATAGCAGAATATTCATAAGCATGAAAATCTGAAAAAAAATCATCAAACCATGGTTACTGTACATGTTCATGCAAACATAATGAATGTGATGAAAGATATAACATCCTGTTAAATGATATCTGAGCAATAACTTTTCCGGAGATGAAATTTTGAGTTGAAATAAAAAGAAGGAATGGTGCAGGTTAGAGCAACTGGGTCAAAAAAAAAAAAAAAAAAAGAATGACTGAAAGTGATTGTGTTTGTTTGTTGAGGTTGTTTGTAAATATTTTGCAATACTTTCCAAAAGCATATGTTGATATATTATAGATGTTTTAATTAATTTGGTAATAAATATGATAATATAAACATTTCTCTTTCAAAACAGTGAGAGAGAAAATACTAGCTAGGTAAATAAATTATTAACATTCTCTATGTTTATTCCTAGATTGGAAACGAAATCTGGGGGCTCCCTCCCCCCACTATGATTTCATGATTTAGCATATACAAACCTAACAATCTTTCCAAGCATATGAAGAAAAAAATTTCTGTTTAAAGTTGAATCCAAATAATTAAATGGCTTTCATCAGGTCCCCAATGTGACAGTCTCTAAAAATGTGTAAGTTCAATGTTTATTCCTTGAACGATTTAACCATAGCCCTGAAAAAACAGAAAATTGGCTCCAGGAAGATAAGCTGTTCATTGTCCACAAAGTTCTTCTTTAGCAAATGGTGTCTACCCTTGGCGTCAGTGTTAAGAATATAAGCAAAAAAAAAATGAGTTGAAGATTCTTAGTACATAGTCTACCGTAACCTAGCTGCAAAACTTTTCTAAAGTCACATGGATATGTTTTCTACAATGCTACCAAGAATGCTGAATCATTCCTTTCTATGGGGATCTTTTTCAACTTTACTACTTCTTAAATTTCAAATATTTTTTAAGTAAAAAATAAAACAAACACAACACAAACAAATTTAAATTCTAGTTTTTTTTTAATGTATGTATATTTTTAGTTTTAAAATTATTTTGGAACTATGACTCTTCCTCAAACACTACTTTGGCCTAAGTGACATTCACAGTGCTGATTTACACACATCCCAAACATACAATCAGCCAGGACCGGAATATAACTGGGCATGGGTGCCCCTCAGGTCACTGAAAAGCATGCATTACTTGTGAAATCATAAAACCATGCTCAAGTCTTTTACCAGACATGTTGCTTTGTCCAGCTCCCCAAAGATAATTAAAAGGAGAACATTAGGATGATGGACCAATTACTTTTAATGAATCATATTTGTTGAAAGAGCCTAAAAATAAGTCAAAGATTTTATACTTGGCTTTGTAGATAAAATGCAACATTGTTTACTATATGTACCTGCAAATGAACAAAACTTCCCTTTTAAAAATCAGAGCACTCATAAAACATGTCTTTCAAAAATGGCTTCTATATGATATCATCATTGGTATATCTCAGTTTGCCCAATTATTCTGGATTTCCTTTTTAAACAGGAAATATTATTGAGACTCATTTAGCGCATTTAAATAATACTCCCCAGTAAAGTATACATTTAAAGAATAAAAATATCAGGTCACATTATCAAACGATCAAATATAATGATTATTTTATTACTCTTAAATACATTTTTATGTAATTGCTTAAGACAGTTCATTCAGAATAAAAAACGGAATTAATTTATGCTAAGTGCAACTCAAAATACATATGTAAATGAGTATCATTTGGTAAAAATAATCCTGATAAATTTTTTATTAACCTCCTGCTATATAGAACAAAATATGCCTCAAATTTTTAAAGAAAAAAATTTATAACTGCTATTTGCATTATTCTGTATTAAGAAATTACGAGTTGTACTATTCTCACAAAACATTTTTTCTCATTTTTCCCATTATTGTTGATGACAGTAATATAAGTAGTGTTTCAATACCAGTCACTTCCTATACTTCCTAATTTTCTTAGTCTTTCTCTGACACTAACCAATATTGACCAGTGAATGTATGATAAATGTGCCCCTTCTTCCAGTATAAATTTATTCTTTAATAAAATATTTATTATACACTTACAATGTGATAGGCTTTGTGTTAAAGGCTTTGGATGCAAAGTAAATTAAGACAGATTCCTTTCCTTAAGAGCTCATGGTCTGGTAAAGGCAAAAGACAATTGCATTATGGTTTACTATACAGGGTAAGTGCAAATGACACAGAAATACCCCTAGAAAGGTTGTTTAAATCAAGCAGGAAGATCAGTTAACAGTAATACTCCATTTCATTAAATTAAGTCTACCTCCTTTATCAAGGAGGTGATGGCTCACCACTGCCTAGCTTGCACTTCCTCACATTGGCAAAGCAGTGTTGACAGGTTTAAACATCAAAACATCCCTGAGAATTACAATCACTATCTTGTTTCCTGACTTCACAAGGTTTAACATCACTGAATTTAAACATATCTGACCTAACCTAAGTTGGAAAATAGCCGTGAGTCCAGCTGTTGTTAAGAAAAGACATGTACATGGTAAGAAAAACATGAACTCAGAATTTACAGCCTGATACATGAAAATCAGATTTTTAGTTGGGGTTTTTACCATATGTTTATTTGTTAGCAGTCAGGCATCAGAATAAAAATAAGACATACCTGAAAGTGTGTTTACCATATTGTGTACTAGATTAGAAGACAAATTGATTAGATAGGTCATAAGTCATGTTTTTTAACTGTAGCAACATAAAACAGACACCCTCCAAAACACTGAGTAAGAAAAACGTTTTTGATAATATATACCAAATTTAGAATTAACACTTAAAAGCCAATATGCACCTAAAAATAAAGACTTGCCACAAAGAAAAGCAGTGTGTACACTTAAATTTATAACGGTGACTTGTTACCCATAGTGCTTCAGGAATCAGGTAAAATAAACTGAGTTCCTTCAACAGTATGTATATTCTTATGAGTGCTTGATAGGAAATCAAAGCATATCCATTATTTCCTTCCAAACATTAGCCAGTGTTTAAGAGAAGCCAAATACCGAAAGACTAAAGAGGACCAGTGTTATAACATGGCCCATTTGTGATCCTCTGGTTTTACAAACACAGTCATTTCAAACAGAAGAGCCTCATTTGATATGGACGGCTACCCTTGTACTTGATACATACCATTCGGACTATGTGTAGGGGAGTTAAATCTTCCCTGGTCAGGGTGACCTTATATGACTTGGGCATGGCTCTGCCTCACTCAGAGGCGAAATCGAGGCAGTGGGATCACCCAGCAGAGTTGTTTTTCTCAGGCAGCCCGATGACAAGAATAACTAAAGCCAAGGAGAACGAAGACTGCCCAGACTTTGTCAGATGGGATTGGCGGAGAGTTCTAGTAACAGTTCCCTCTCGCACCAAGGAGTGGTTACATTCAGAAGGCTGAGAGGTACCATAGATCCTGCATCCTGAAATTGTGGGTCCCTCAGCACAAATCCACTCATCGCCTTTGTGGATTATGGGATTGTCGCTGGAACCTGGGTTTGAAATAACAGCAGTTTTGAGAAGTTGGATTTACACATTCCAGCCGAGCTGAATGTCGCCTTAGAGTGCTGAGACTTAAAGACTTCTGAATCTCCCTCCCCCACAGCCTAAACAGCCACTGCCTCTCAAATTCCAGCTTATACATTCACTTCCTGGGCAATTTTTCTCTTGGGGGGAAAACAATGGACTCTTTCAATCTTCTCTTATCAACAAAGGACTCTAAGACGAAGAAACATTCCTTTCAACCGCATCCTTTCCGACTTCTTTACAAATGATGAGTGGGCGTCGGGGGTGGGGGGACGGGGCCCGAGGAGGGATGAGGTGACAGGCAACTCACCTCTTTCAGCTGCTCCAGCTCCTGTTTGAGGCTGTCGTACTCAGCCTCCAGCTCGTCATACTGCTGTTTGAGGGTCAGCTTCTCCTCCAGGACCACCAGCCCGTACTCGGCAGCCTGGATCTTCTCGTGGGTCGTCTCTGTGAGCTCCTTGGTCAGCCTCTCTATCTCAGTCTTATAATGGTCCACAGTCTGCAATACCTCTTCTGCGGCCATAGCCCCGGTGGACGGAGGCAGGAGGGGGCGTCGGGGTGGGGAGACGGACGCAGAGCAGGCGGGGGAAGGGGGAAGGAGGTGGGGAGGGAAGGGTAAAAATGGAAAAGAAAAGTGTGGCTGGATGAAGGAGCAACGATTCCCCGACTGCTGCTCCGGCGGCAGCGGCTACACTGCCGGAGAAACTGAGGAGAAACGCAACATGGAGAACGCGGGGAGAGGATCAGGGGCGAGGCGGCCGCCGCTGCCGCATGTGTCCTCTGGGTCAGCAGCCGTGCGGCATGGCCTGGGCTGCGGCGGCCGGGGACGACGAGGGGCTCCGGATTCTGCTTATTCAGAGGCGCCCGGCCGCCATGTCTCCCGGGCAGCGTCACTGCAGTCTCCCCGGGGCCTGGCGCTCCCCGGCTCGCGGCTCGCTCGCTCGCTCGCTCCACCTGCTCCCTCTGGCTGTGCTGCAGCCGGTGCGGAATGATGCAGTCTCGGGCCCGCTCCCTCCCTTCGCGCCTGGCCCCGGCTCCGAGCAGGGGGCGGGGAGGCGGATGGAGTCAGCGCGGGGGGAGGGAAGGAACCGACGGAAACGTCCCGAGGCGCCTCCCGCCGGGCGCGAGGGGCCGCCGCCGCGGGCTGCACCGGGCGGGGGGGGGGGGGCGCGGGCCGGAGGCCGAGGCGGAGGCGGCGGGACGCGCGCGGGGGGAGCCCCCGCCCTGCCCGGCTCGCCCCGGGCGGGAGTTCCTCCCAGGACTTTGGCCCGTGGACGTCGCGGCCCCCGGAGTGGCGGGGCCGCCCCTGCTCTGCCTCTGAGACGCGAGCCAGAGCTCCGGAACTGCCTGGAAAAGGCGCCTTTCCCAGGGAAAAGCAAACAGTAACTAACGCGCTCGGGGCCCGCGCATCCTTCTCGCCCCCTGGGCTCGCAGCCTCCTTCCCAGCCTCCTGCACCCAAACCAACGCTGTGCTTCCAAAGCCTGCCAGACGCGCCCCAAGGCGAGCGCTCTCCCCGACCCCCACCCCTTCCGCCTCCCCTCCCTTCCCCTCGCCAGCTTGGCCTGGTTTACCTCACACTGTCACCAAATAACCTTATTACCCCTCAGGACGGTCTGCACTGAAGTTGCTTGACCTCGCACAGCGTTCTGTGCCCAGCTTGCCACAAGATTGGATCTGCTCCGAAAAATGCATGCACCCAATAAGCCTCTAGGTACTCCTCTTTCTTGCCTCAGTAGTTCTACGCTACACATTCTTCAATAAAGGAAAACTGCATGAAATTCCCTATATATGGTATCAACGATACCCTACAATAAACATGTTTAAAAGAGTAAGAGCTAATAGTTCTTGAGACCACGTGCCAGCCATTCTTCTGAGTATGGTATGTGCATTCTCTCTAGTCCTAACGACCACTCTTGGGAGGTGGGAACCATTATCCCCAATTTAAAAGTGGTGAAAGAAAGGCACAGGAAATTGAAGGATTTGTCCAAATCAGGCAACTCTTTTTTTTTTTTAAAGACTTTATTTATTTATTTGAGAGAGACAGAGAAACAGCATGAGAGAGGAGAGGGTCAGTGGGAGAAGCAGGCTCCCCGCTGAGCAGGGAGCCCTACGTGGGGAGCCAGGATCACGACCTGAGCCTAAGGCAGATACTTAACCAACTGAGCCACCCAGGCGCCCCCAAATTAGGCAACTCTTAAGTGGTGAAGCCAAAATTTAATCCTAACTCCAGAGCCCTAAACTGGATCATTATATTGGCCTCACCACTCATTAATAATACACACCCAGCAACTAAATATTATATGCTCGTGAAATGACCACTTTGATCAATATGAAGAGTCACAAAAGGAGCCGAAGACAAAGTCAGAGTGAAAAACCAAAAATGGAGAAGAGATGAGAATGCAGAACCTAGAGGAAAGGGAGAAATAGCAGAAAAGGAGTGATTTCTGTGGAAATGGAAGGGAGGCTCTGGGATCAATAGACCAAAGGTCTTACCAGTTCCTTCCTTCGCTTCTATTGGGTGCCACTATTTAGAGAGCTCTTTCTCAGTGGCCAGGAGGTGCTCAACACACACAGAATTTTCTGATTTAGAAAGCAGGACTCGATGCTCCTCTTCGTTTTGTAGATGGTAAAGAAAAAAAGATAGTTGCTGATGGTGTGGGAAGAAGAGCAAACAAACAACAACGCTCTTACAAAGCCTGGACTAATAGGCAGTCTGGATGTGATTTTTCACTGCCTCTGAAAACAGACAAAAAAATATTCCTTCTGGATGCTGACAATAATGACAGAATATTCTCTTGTGATTATCTGATCTAGAAAGAAAGAAGAAAGAAAGAAAGAAAGAAAGAAAGAAAGAAAGAAAGAAAGAAAGAAAGAAAGAAAGAAAGAAAGAAGGAAAGAAAACACTTGAAACATGCTACAAACCATGAATTCCAACCTGGCAGAGAAGCAGGGGTAATAATGACCACATCATTCCACGTATACTGCCTTGATGTCACACTCCAATTGAGAAGCTCCTCCTGGGTGCTCCTGGAGTGCCCATCCTCTATCACAGTGATGAATGATCATGAACCACTGAGAGAAGAGATGAAAGCTGTAATTGTGGGTAGCCAAACTGCCTTCTTCCCAGTATGCCCCTGGCCTTTCCTCACTCTGCAAAGTGTAAGCAGAGCGCTTCCAAAGGAATCATAACACTTGGGGGAAGATTGCCTGTTACTCCCTTTCCCTTGGATAGAACTAAGAATGGAGTTTGCCTCTGTGACTTTCCTTCTTCGAAGTTTCCATTCCCCCCCATTCCCTGTGCTCTGTCCTGCCCCATTTTTCTGATGGATCAACTCTTGTTAATGTATTCAGTCTGACTTCATTCAGACATTACACTATCTTAACATCACAAGATTTTGCATATTACAACTTTGATCCTTTATATGTTGGTATTTAACTTGAAGAAAATCAGCTTGTATACCATACTCTTGCAGGACTGCACAGATTTCTCTTCATATAGATGTCATACATACCATGTATATATAGGTACAGACCTAGATATAGATGGATATAGCTATAGATCACTGACAAGTATCTAGAAAAGAATTTCTTAAACCAATACTGGAAGTAGGGTTCCCTCATATTTCTTTAAATTAGCAGCCTCCAATTTCTTAGGAAACTTTCTTGCTTACAAATATTTAGGGAAAATTAGGGGCGCCTGGCTGGCTCAGTCAGAAGGGCGTGCAACTCTTGATCTCGGGGTCATAAGTTCGAGCCCCATATTGGATGTAGAGATTACTTAAATAAATATATATTTTTTAAGATTTTATTTATTTATTTGACAGAGACAGACACAGTGAGAGAGGGAACACAAGCAGTGGGAGTGAGAGAGCGAGAAGCAGGCCTCCTGCGGAGCATGGAGCCCGATGCGGGGCTCGATCCCAGGACCCTGGGATCATGACCTGAGCTGAAGGCAGACACTTAACGACTGAGCCACCCAGGTGCCCCTTAAATAAATATTTTTTAAAACACAAATATTTAGGAAAAATTATATTTTGTGACTTAGTACCTCAAACCAACCTCTCGCCAACTTTGCATGAATATTGCTTTCTCTTGCTCTCATTCATTCATTCATTCCTTAAACAGATATTTATTAAGTACCCCTTATGTCCTAGGAACAATAGGAGGCATTGTGAAATCAATGACCAGTAAGATGTCAGTGGTCAGTGGTCCCTGACTTCATGGAGCTTATGTTCTGGGAGGGAAGAAGCAAACAAATACATGACAAAACAGACCAAAAACAGACAACAACAGGGATGCATGAGTGGTTCAGTCGGTTAAGCCTCCAACTCTTGGTTTCAGCTCAGGTCATGATCTTGGGGTCATATCAGCCCCACAGTGGGCTCTGCACCCAGAGCAGAGTCTGCTTGAGATTCTTTCCTCCTCCCTTCCCCTCCCCCTTTGTTCTTCCCCACCCCCAGCCTCTGCTCATGCTTCCTATCTCTCTAAAATAAATAATAAATAAATAAATAAATAAATAAATAAATAAATAAATAAATAAATAAATAAAATCTTTAAAAAAGACAACAAAAAAGATAAATTAATACAAATATTCCAAATTGTAATACTGATAAGCAGGATACAGCATAATGGTTAAGAGCAGAAGCTAATCTGCTTGGGTCAAATCCAACTTCGCCACCTACTAGCTATGTGTGCCTCAGTCGCCTCATCCTTAAAGAGGGGACAATAATATAATTACTAACAAGATTGTTGTGAATAGAACAATATTTGACACCTAATAAGCAGCATATGTGTGTTTGTTTTTAAGTTTTGGGAAAAAAAAAAGAATAAGATTGAGATAGAAAAAAGAAACAACAGAATAATCAGTGGAGATCTCTCTGCAGAAGTGATATTTACCTTAATATCTAAGGTATCTGAAGGAACTGGATATGCTAAATGTGGAGGAAGAGCTTTCCAGGAGGAGGGAAGGGCATGTGTAAAGGCCCAAGGCAGAAAAGAGCTTGGTGAGTGCAAAGAATAAAAATCAGAAGCTGAGGCTTATAAGCCAAGGGTAGGTGACCTACGACTGCACTAGAAAGACAACACAGAAGGGACACTCAGATCATGCCTGCCTTGCAGGTTAGACTAATTTGGATGTTGAACACCTGAAATTAATATAATATTATACGTCAATTATATCCCAATTTTTAAAAAAGAAAAAAAGAAGAATATGGTATTTCAAATTGCAAACATTTGCAGAGTAAAAATTTTCCAAGGCAAATGAGTTTCACACCACACAAGAACAAGAGGAGACAAAATACTTCTATTTTGCTTCTCAGCATGCTTTAGAAAAAATTTTAAATAACCCTAATGGTTTAGCCTTAAAGTCAGAACAGCTGGTAGGTTGTAACCTGGGATTTTAAAGCTGCCAGAAAGGACTTTTTAAATCCTCTGCTCTTCTTTCTAATTCCCCTCAAAATGATGTCTGAAACTCCTTTGGTAATAAAGAAAGATGCTTATTATCTCATAATTAGAAATAACTTTGAAATGCAAAAAGTTATTAAACTTAAATTTATATTTATATTTGCTTTATATTTTTTTCCTGATTCTGATAAGAAAATACCCCAAGGAAGGAACTGAAGGGCTGAAGAAGTGGAGGCTGGGAACATTGCAGACAAACATTATCTAATTCACATCTGTGCCTAAGGCTGGCCTTGCATCCAGCTCTTCAAGATTTGAACAGAATTTCTTAATATGCTTCTTTCTGCCAAAATATATCCCCTTCTCTGGTTTTAATGGCCCTAGAATTTATATAGAGATTCCGAACCTGTTCAGAAACATTCCTTTACCCAACAGCTTAAAAAAAAAAAGAAAAAGAAAAAGAGAAGAATAAGGAATTTGGGTTTTACTCTCAGTGCAGTGGGAGACTTGATTATTTAGTCAGGAAATGAAATTATTTCATTTATATTTTAGGAACATCACGACTACACACAAAAAAAGTTTGGTGGTATCAAAAGATAGAAGTAGGAGGGGTACCTGCCTGGCTCAGTAGATCCTGCAGCTCTTGATCTCAGGGTCATGAGTTCAAGCCCCACT